TATATTATTACTCCTCTTCATTTTGTATCTTCTTTAAATTATCATATTATAAATATATAACTTTTGTTTTATGCCTGTCAGCATTTTATTTTAGGGCTGCTTTCTTCCTGTGGCATCTTTTCATTGACACTGCAGATATTTCCATGTAGAAATTTTTCTTTTCCTTTAGATTCTGTTCTTAAAATGTATTATGCATTTTGTCCCACATCTCAATATATAAAAGCAATAATAGGAGTAATTAATGTTTTGCCATTTTACTTCTAGTTTATGCAGAATAGTCATTTGATTATCAAACCCATCCAGGGTCTGCAATTAGACCCAGTTCCGCAGCTGCTCTCTTCTGTTTTCCTATAATGCATGTTCCTTTCTTTGGAGCTGTTGTTTTCCAATGTGTGTGATGCACAATGCTCAGAATGCGTCTTCAAAATAAATGTGGTTTCTCTTTCTATCTTCAAGGCCAAAATGAAGAGACACTGTATTGAGCTTTTCAGAATTAAAGTGGCACTTTTAGTGCCCATTTTTTTGGTAATAGTGGATGCAGTCAGCAGCTTTGTCAATTCGGTTGTCACTGTCACTCTAGGCTTTCCAGATGTTCAAGTCCAGAAGTGTCATGAAACACCATGGCAAGGATGCATTTCTTTTTATTCTTTTTCTTGTTTATTTTTCTCCCTAAAGAAAGAGTGAACAAAAGAATAGCCATGGCAAGTATGGCTATTCACCGATCTCCTTAAATGGCCTAAGAGAAAAGAACAAAAGAACTTCCAGAATACTTTTAGTGATTTTTAATATAAACGTAGCACAGTTTCCATGGTTGGAAAATTAAATTTTAATATTTGAATTAGACGATGATCCTGTATTAACTCTGTTAGAACTTAAAGACCTTTTGTGTATATGATTAAATGACATTAAATAACTGATATAAAAAGATTAAATTTATTTTTCTAAAATTAGTATAGTATTGGAACATATTTATCTTTTTAAAGAAATCTTTTTTTAATAACACTTAATAAGATTTCCATTAGCACTAAGCCTTAATCAAATATGCTCCTACACTTAACACATTCAAAAAGTTATAAAATAACATTTGGAGCTGGAAGAGGTTCTTATAAATTATCGAGATATACTGATAGTTTATAAAAAATGTGATGACTTTAATTAACGTATTGTAAGAATATCACATGCATGCACATTGGTGTGTTTGGGAGAAACATGTTACTTTCTAATTTCACTTTATAAATTAATGGCTTTGATAGTCATGACAGACACTATAAATCAAACACTTGGATAACACCTCATAATTTCAAACCTCCCCAAGAAAGATATTTTTGTGTAAGGTCACTCTACATTGCCACTTGTTTCAACAAAAAACAAGAAAGATTAAATACATAAATATGTTTATTTATTTATTTTAAAATATATTTATTTACTATTTTAAATAAATATGTATTTATTTAATATATATAGTAAATAAAAATACATTTACTTAATATATTTATTTAATATATATTTTTAAAATATATATTTATTTAATATATATTTTTAAAATATATATTTATTTAATATATTTATTTCATATATATGAAATATCTATGTATTTCAAATATATACCTTGAAATATATATGATATGTATTTCAAATATATCTGTCTGGTTACAAACTAAGTTTACAGTTGTCAGTCTGATAAAGTTATCTTTTTATTCACTGAAGAGAGCTTCTTAATTTCATTTGAAAATTCTGTCTTTTAGGAAAACTACTCAAACTACTCATTTGGAAAGGGAAAAAATGTAGAAAATAAATTTTACAAGTTTTATAGAGACTTGTAACAACACAGCTAAGGCAACACATTTCAGATGAATTTTACTAATTTTATTTAAATTTCAGAAATTAAATAATTTTAAAAGCACTGTCATGGTGACTGGCCAAAAATAAATTTTGAATGTAAATTTCTTCCTGAAAAGTACTGTGGTCCAATCAAATTGGGAAATAGAAGCCAGCTTATTTTTTAGAGTTATTTATTCCTTAAGATTTTCTAGGAACTATCATAATTCTTAGATCCTAGCATGGCCATTTTAAGCCTCAACAGAATACCAAGTACTAAGGAAACCCTGAATCTAGTGAGGAAAAAAGAACATGCACATAAAATAAGAAGTAATGGCACACTACAGAATAGTGTGCATAAAATAAATGGCCTAGAACCTAAGTCCTATAAAAACTGAGGAAAAGGAGGATTCACTGTGGGCTGGAGTAGTGGGGGAAGGTTTTACGGAGGACTTAGGCTTTGATATGTGTTTGAGAGAAATGACAGTATAATTCCCATAAGTAGTAAGTAGAGAATGAGCACTGAAATTGAAGATAACGGCATGAGCATCACAGTGTGGACCAAAACACAAAATATAACCAGAGACATCAAATAATTCTATGGAGTCACAGGCAAGGGCTCAAAGTAGAGAGTAATGTGATAAAATTAAGCAAGTAGTTAAGGAATTGATTATAAAGATCTTCTAATGCTAGCCTAAGAGATTATAGACTTATACCAGTTCATAAAATCACTTGTGAAGTTGTTGTTGCAGTAGTTGTTGTTGATTTCAGATACATATGTCTAGACCTCTTCCTGGAGACTGTGATTAATAGAGGCTGAGGCTGGAGACTATTTTTTAAATGATCCATAGAAACAGTGGTGGCTTCATGGGCATTCAGACTGTGCCATCTCCCAAAGCCCCATGTTTGGCTTAATACTCCGCAGTAGCCGTCACGAAATTCTTAATAATTTTATCAGCAATTTTGTCTGCTGCCATTCCTTATTACTCTATTCACATGTAGAGTTAAAATGATCCTTGAGCACTGAATTCCAGAGAGCCCAAAATACATGGGAGTTCAGCAAGACTCAAAGTGAGTACAAGGTAAGGGCTATGCCTATGATTGGGTAAATGGGGGTGCTGACAACTCCCAAAAGGCCAAGCTTTCTGCTTGAACCAGAATTGCACTGAGGGTAGAAAGGAGGCAATGGCATTCTCAGTGAAAGAAGTGACCAAGGAACCTTGTCATATCCTTTCTTGCTCACACTACTTTTCTGTATCAGCCAACTGAAAATAACACAGAAGGAAAGAGAAAGACAAAGGAACCCATAGTTGGTTTGCTTTGCAGTCTTCTTTATTCATCTGCAAGGTAAGTTAATGTGTTGGTAAATGAGACCAAAGCAAAAAATTAAATAAAATCAGTTGAGATAGCTTTGTGCAACATTTCCACTGTTCTGGCAAGAGAGAAATATATATGTATGCGTGCATAAGCTACAAAATATATACTGGGTAACATTAGTGTTTATGCAAATAAGTTAAGTGGTCGTATTTGCATTTAGAATGGTCACTACAAAATATAGAGATGAATAGTAAAATTTATGCTAACAACTTAAAATTTAAATTTTTCTTAATGCAACATTAAATACAAATTTTAAACAAAACACTATGACAAGTTGAGTGAAAGGCCATGGAAAATCAGGAAAGTTTAAATATTTTAGTTCCTTTAATGATACTTTTTTTCTGCTTTTGAACAAGGGGTCCCATATTTTCATTTCTCACTGGGCCCTGCAAATTATGTAGCTGGCCCTGACAGATAATTGTGATGATCAGGGCTAAGAATTGCTGATGTTGGTAACAGAGAGACAGTAAAGTATTTTGAGGAGGAAGGTATTTTGTGAGGTTTAATTCATAGAGACCTGATGGAAGTAAGTAAAATAAATGTAGGGAGATCTGTAGAAAATGTTTATAGCAAACTGGTGAGAAATGAAGACCTTCACCAGAGTGGTGCAAAGGGAAGACAGGAGAAAGAAAATAATTAGAGGAAAAGAAAACCTAATGAAAGCCCTGGTGACTCAAAATGGAAGGAAAATGAAAAGGAGAAATTAAAAAAAGAAAAAATCCCCAAATGTTAAAACCTCGGTGACTGGCTAACAACAATGCTCTCAAGAAAGAAAAGGTCAAAGGTCTCCACTCTACATGTGTTGATTTGCAAATGGAAGAGAGTCATTGAAGAGTAATTCTTCATTGACCTACTGGATGCTGCAGAAGAAGTGAAGGGAAATCTGGCTGCTGTCATGGACATTGAGGGTCTCACTGGAATTAAATAAAATCTCTGAAGGAACGAGAAGAGAGAAAAGGCAAGCCACAAATGCAAAAGCCTTAATCACTTACCACAGCTTAGGAAGCAGGGGGAAAAGAGCAGCCAGTACTTGTGATGGAGATGGAGCAGCCAAACTTATGCAGAGAGCTATGATAGCAACCCTCAGGGAGAGTATGCTGGAAGATGATGCATTTAAGAAATGAGTAGAACACTGTTGTATGCCACAGAGCAGAGAGTGAAAAATGATAAAAGTGTTTTGAATTTTTAAGTATATATTCTTGAGTGACCTTGGAGGAAGCAATTTCAGGAGTAGCTTTTCAGATATTGTCAAACTAGAGAGAGTTTCAAGATTGAGTGGGTGATGATAAAATGAAAGCTGCAAGTGTACTGCTCATTTTTAAGATGTGCATTGCGTTGGGCAGAGTGAAGTAATATAGAAGAGAGGTGAGCAGGGTTAGTAGATCGAATGAAATTTATTCAAGATAAATGAAAGAACATCTAAAATGAGTATTTGTTTTTACTGTTCTCTTAATTTTTATATTATTTTCATAGACTACCTAAAATCCTTTGAATATTCAAAGGACAGATAAATGAATGGAAGAAGGGCTAAAAGAAAAAAACTGATGAAGCATGAAGAAATGTATAGTCTCTTACTTATCCAATATTACTCATCTGCTATGTTCATGGTACATTGAGAGAAAATAAGGATAAAAATACATGTGCTGCCTTCAGTGAGTTTAGAGTAGGGGATATACTTAAAGTTCCACTGTTAACTATCAATCTGAATCTAGCAAATATCATAATAAAATGAAGAAATAAATAAGTCAAATCTTTATTTTAAATCTTAATTTTCAAGAGTATCACATACATTTTTCAGTGGAGAGTAAGAAATAGAAGATTCTGGAAAGGTTACTCAGGGACAGTGTCAGAACGGGTAAAAAAAGGGACCAAGAATTAAATACTGATACCGCTTCCTCAAAGACCAGCAGGAGGGAGAGAAGAACACAAGAAACTATAGAGCTATGTAAATGAGAAGAAGACACAATATTGAACCGTTTCAAATGAGGGAACTCAGGCCAGAAAGCTTTGATGTTCTCGGTGAGTTAAGAGGTAACCTCACCTACTGAGAAAGAAGGTAAGAACATCTGTGAGAGCCTCTACAAAGAAAAGATCAATAGGACTTCTGACTGACTCCATGTATTTGCACTGCCTGAACACCTGCCCCCCTTTATCGCAGGCAAAATACAGCTAGTTATTTTTAAGAGTTCATTTTCCTCCTGAAATCACCCGAGATTATGACTGTCTAGAATAATCATCCTTCTTCCTGAATTTCTATTATTCGTATAACTTGTTCTACATTCCCCATGTTATTGTATACTGCTCTGCTTAGTTCTCTAGTTGTTTTTCATTTAATCCTACCTGTGCTTGACTTGAGACTCCTCAAGGACAAGGAGGGACATCTTATACTTACCCTGTATCTTTCCAAATGTCTGCACAGTAGTCTTTTAACAAACATTTCCCTATTGGCTGAAGAGGAGGAAGAAGTATTACAAACACATGTCAGAGGAAGATTCCTCTCTCTTCTATTATTCTAGGGGATTTGTTATACTATTAAATTGTGTATCTAATATATAATCTGTACAAAACAAGGTACCATAGCAGTAATGTTTGTAGAATTCAAAATGCATACTTCATATTTAAAGGTGATTATTCATCTCACTAGTTGTCAGGAATTTCAAAAACATTATCCTTTAAGTTGTATACTAGATTACAGAAGCAGAGTCAGGACTGATAACTCCATAAGCAGTATAATCAAGAAAGGCAAGATTATTATATGTTCTATCGCCAATGCTACTGTTAGTTCTGTAAACACAAAGCAAAAATGGAGAAAAGTAGATTAAATAATTATGTAATCTGAAAAATTCCAACTAAATCCAACTCTGGCTACATCTACACCATAAAATGTACCAATAAGTCTGGCTGAAAATAGATTTTTTAAAAAAGCCCAATAATTGAAGGTTTGCCCTTAATTATCAGTAAAACAATATCAAATTGCATTTTATTTAAAAGTATAAGCTGGTACTTGGGAAGGATTAACTGCTGACTGTCATCATTACAGGACTTTCATTTTTATTTTGAGGAGTTGTACATCGGTCTTGGTTTTAAATTATTGAGGCTGCTGATTTCTATTTATGCTAAATTCTCACTACAGATTGAGTATCCATTCTCCGAAATTTGAAATCCAAAATGCTCCAAAATCTGAATTTTTTGAGTGCCCACATGATGTTCAAAGGAAATGTTCATTGGAACATTTCGGATTTCTGATTTTTGGATTAGGGATGCTCAACTGGGTAATATAATACAAACATTCCCCTAAAATTCTGAAATCTGAAATACTTCTGGTCCCTAGCATTTCAGATAAGGGATACTCAAATGTAAAATCTCAAAGGTTGAGAACTACAACATAATGTTTGCTCTACGTATTATGGTGAGTGATGAACCTTTTCACTATGCCAACTGGAAAATCTACAGTATATTCAAAGTAATAGCAATGTAAATACTTTATAATGGATTTATCATGTAGGATGCCTATTATCAATGTCTCAGAACATTTGCTTGGTTTAAGCATGAACATGCAAAAAGTTAGATTTTGTTTTCTTTTAATTTGACCTGAGCTACTGTGTAAGGTAGTCCCAAAAAAAGATATGAAACAGAATTATTTCATCTCTCTGATTTGTGCATAGAATGCCAGATCTGGAATGAACTTTGGAAATCACAGACAAATCATCTTTCTCTGTGAGAAGAGGTAGGAAGACAGATTCAGGGAGGTTGAGTACTTATCCCAGGACACCCATCCAAAAAGCCATGGCAACAATTTGTAACTGGCCTGTTCTAGAACCTTTATCACTGAGCATATCAATCATGCAGTTACTAATTTATTAACATTATTTGCTGAAGTATAGAACACAAAATTCAATTATTTATCACAAATGTATACACGCAACTAATAATCAAATCAAGAAATAAAACACAGTCAATACATCAGAACCTCATCTTCATTATCCTTCCTGGTTACTACCCTTTCCTTCATCTCTCAAGGAAACCACAATCCTAATTTCTAACATAAGATGGAACATAACACAAGTAGGAACATATAGTGTGGGTTTTTTAATGTTTCTGCTTTTTTTGGTGGAGGACATATTTATCCAAGTTATTTCATTAAGCTATAGCTTGTTCATTTCTATAACTGTACAGAATTCTATTGCATTAACACACAATAGTCTATATCTATTCATTATAATATTGATAGAAATTTGTGCTTTATTTCCCATTCTTCAGCTGCTATAAACAATGTTGCCATGAACGTTTTCATCCATGACTCTGGGCACACATGCTGATGCATTTATGTCTGATATATGACTAGAAATGAAATTACTGATTCATACAGTAGACTATGTTCTACTTTAGTAAACACTGCCAGATTGTTTTTACGAAGTGGTTAAACAATTCACTCTCCTACTAGAAATATTTGAGAGAATATTCTTAGATCTTTAAAGAAGCATGTATTGCATACCTACTATATTCCAGAAACCATGCTAACTTCTGAGGCTGAAAACAGGCTAAGAAACAGAATTTTCTCTTGAGGACTTTTTGTCCAAATAGGGATGAGAAATAAATAACCAAATAAATGTAAAAGAAGCACTCCAGTGTCTACATCATTACCTATACAACATAAAGGATCTTCACACTTTATTTCATGTTTTAAAAATTTCAACTTTTATTTTAGATTCAGGGGATATATGTGCAGGCTTGCCACATGGGTATATTGTATGACACTGAGGTTTAGGGTGCAATTGATTCCATCACCCAGGCAGTGAGTATAATTCCCAATAGGTAGTTTTTTAGCCCTTGCACTCACCTCACATTGCTTCCTCTAGTAGTTCCCAGTGTCTGCTGTTCTCATCTTTATGTCCATGTTTACTCAATGTTTAGCTCCCACTTATAAGTGAGAACATGCAGTATTTGGTTTTTTCTTTCTGCATTAGTAATGGCTTAGGATAATGGCCTTCAGCTGCATTCACGTTGCCACTACAGGATATTATTCTGTGCTTTTTACGGCTGCATAGTATGCCATGGTGTATATGCACCACTAGTTTCCCCCAAAACTCATTATCTCCTTTTCCTTTTAGTCATGAAACCGACCAAGCTTGAACTGGGCTCATGGTTGTTCATTAATAATCAATGAGTACATTTCCCAGCCTCTATTGTAGGTAGATCTGACCAGGAGATCAAGTTCTGAACTATGGGATCTGGACAGAAGTTACATCTGCAAGTTACAGGTCATAGAACCTTAATATGAATAGTTGGACCCTCCTCCTCCTCCTCCCCTCTTATTAACTGAAAAGGGAATGTAGTATTGAAGACACATGTTTGCCATGTGAACAATGGCAATACATCTGAGAATAGCAGAATCACAAGACTGAAGAAGCATCTTGGAGAATACAGTTGCTCTATCCCCTTCTATTAGACTGTTTGGGACTGTCACTAGAAAAATAAGCACCTTTCTTGTTTAAGCCACTTTCTCTTTTGGTCAGCTAAAACAACTTAAGTTATATCTTAACACATGGAAGCTAGAAATGGAGGCACCGGACGTATTCCAGTAATCCAGAGACCAGCTTATAGTTTTAATTCCCCTACGATGGTAACAGAGGTTATCTCTAATGCCAGAATATAAGATAAGCAGCACATCTACAAAAAGATATTTGCTATTCTTGGAGAAGGTTTCACTGAATAACATGAGGTTTTTTGGTTATCACCATTCTGCCAAGATATGGAATTCCTAGGAACAAAACAGAATGTTTATATGAAAAATTAAGAAACATTAACTAGAAGCATGAGACTACAAAAAACTTAGTGGCTTAAAGAAAAAGATTCTACTTTACTTCCATAAAATCATACTAAGGTAAAGATTAAATGCTGATGGTTATAGCTCAATTCCATTTAGTCACTAAGGGATTTAAATTGCTCCCATTGTCATCTTCTCCATGGCCACATGGTTGCCTTGGATTCCCGCCAGTAGGAAGCAAATGTGGGGAAATGTACCTGACGTCTTAGCTCATAACCCCAGAGGTGTAACACAGCACTTTCTCTCATTTCATTACCAGCAAGTTAATTATATTGCCATATCTTAACTGCAAAGAATCCTGAGTCTTGCCTTGTTCCTAGACAGAAGAATAAAGTAGATTTTGGTAGACTTAGCAGTAGTTTCTTCCAAATTAAGATAAATGAGGAGTCCAAGAAAAGGGATAAATGAATGCCAAAAATTAATTTGGGTCAGGTTATGAAGAACTTTAAACATTAAGTGGCCATACAAACTGTTTAAGCAGTAAAGTTACAACTAATCTGGTTGTATGTCCAAAAGTTACTAGAGATGAACTAGTGGTAAGGAGAGCTTATAGCAGACTACTCATTTGGATAAGGAAAATATTAATACAGTCTGGAAAAATCAATGACAATTAAAATAAAGATGAGGGGGAGCAAAACTTATGCAATATCTCTAGAGATAATATGAAAAGAGTGTTGCGAGGAAGGTGGGGAGAAGAAAAGTAGCACTGCAGTGGGAATCTGGAAAACACTGCAGCGGGCATCTGGGGAACACTGCAGCAGGAATCTGGGGAACACTGCAGCAGGAATCTGGGGAACATTGCAGCAGGAATCTGGGGAACACTGCAGCAGGAATCTGGAAAACACTGCAGCAGGAATCTGGGGAACACTGCAGTGGGCATCTGGGGAACACTGCAGCAGGAATCTGGAAAACGCTGCAGCAGGAATCTGGGGAACACTGCATCAGGAATCTGGGGAACACTGCAGCGGGCATCTGGGGAACACTGCAGCAGGAATCTGGAAAACGCTGCAGCAGGAATCTGGGGAACACTGCATCAGGAATCTGGAAAACACTGCAGCGGGCATCTGGGGAACACTGCAGAAGGAATCTGGGGAACACTGCAGCAGGAATCTGGGGAACACTGCAGCAGAAATCTGGAAAACACTGCAGCAGACATCTGGGGAACAGTGCAGCAGGAATCTGGGAAACACTGCAGCAGGAATCTGGGGAACAATGCAGCAGGTTTCTGGAAAACACTGAAGCAGGAATCTGGGGAACACTGCAGCAGGCATCTGGAAAACACTGAAGCGGGAATCTGGGGAACACTGCAGCAGGCATCTGGAAAACACTGAAGCGGGAATCTGGGGAACACTGCAGCGGGAATCTGAAAAACACTGAAGCGGGAATCTGGGGAACACTGCAGCAGGAATCTGAAAAACACTGAAGCGGGAATCTGGGGAACACTGCAGCGGGAATCTGGGAAACACTGAAGCGGGAATCTGGGGAACACTGCAGCGGGAATCTGGGAAACACTTTGGGAAACACTGAAGCTGAATCTTGGGAACACTGCAGCGAACTGGGAAACACTGAAGCTGGAATCTTGGGGAACACTGCAGCGGAATCTGGGGAAACATTGGGTATGTGGAATCTAGTATACTTGCAGCGGGAATCTGGGGAACACTGCAGCAGGAATCTGGGGAACACTGCAGCGGGAATCTGGGAAACATTGCAGCAGGAATCTGGGGAACACTGCAGCAGGAATCTGAAGAAGTGAAGACTTAGGTTTAAGACAGGGTGCTTAAAAGTAAATGTGGATTATTTAAGTAGTAGTGTCCAGAAGACAACTGTAAATATTTTCCTGATATCCACAAAGACTTGGAGCTGGTGTTTCACAGAGCTGTGGTTACAACCATTAGTATACCTGAGAAGAACAGAGCAAAAAAGAGAATGAAGGATTATTTGATGTTTGTGACCCCCTCCTCCCAAATTCATATGCTGAAATCTCATCAACAATGTGCTGATATTAGGATGTTGGTTTCTGAGAGATGATTAGGCCATGAGGTTATAGCCCTTATGGATTGGATTAGTGCCTTTAGACAAGAGACCACAAAGAGCTAACTAGTCCCTTCCACCAAGTGAGGACACAGTGAGAAGGCACCATCTATGAACCAGAAAGTAAGCCCTCAACAGACACTGAATCTGTCAGCATCTTGATCCTGGACTTCTCATCCTCCAGAACTATGTTAAATAAATGTATGTTGTTTATATAAGTTATCTAGTTTATGGTACTTTGTTATAGCAACCTGAATAAGTTAAGACAAATAAATAATATGTGAAATGCCAGGTCTTGGAAGAGAGCAAAAAGAAAAATCAGTGAAGAAAACTAAGGGATCAGTTGGAGACTTTCAAAGAGAATGTGGAAATGTTATGGGCAGAATGAAGTTCACCAGAAAGACCCCTGCGCCCTCAATAATGTAGTCAGAGTAACGATTTCAGAACTAAGTCACACGCAGACCTAACCAAAGCAACATACACTAGTTTGCATTTCATCTTTATGACTGCTTTTTTTAAATACAGAGGACAACTTGTAGTGTAACATATAACAAAACAGGGAAGTGGTGTGGCTTATACATGAATGATTCACATAGCTATGAAACAAAAGCCAAACCCCCTTCACAAATCAGTCAGAGTCTATTCATCAGCAGGTTTGAACAGATCCCCAGGAGGCAAGTGCAAATTGAAAACATTTCTAGTCAAATCCACTTTGTTTTATAGCCCTTGGACATTTTGAAAATACTGCTAGTGTTTTTGGATCCAGTGCCTTTTTATTTGGAGCTTAATCCTGCGGTCCTTTCCTTGAATAGAAATTATTTATACACAATGTTTTATATTCAAACTTAGCAATGGGTATAAAAAACATAAGCTATTTTACTTCTCTTCTTTTTCTGCATGTCAAATTATTCACTCATTTAACAAATATACATTATACTTATGAAGAAACTTTATACTTTATATAAGCACATCCATTGTAGCACCTATAATAGAAACCATGACCACTTGGACAAGTAATTCAAGCATCAAAAGAAATTCCATTCTGGATGAAAAGTAGCTGAAATCTTGTATTCTGCTACATAAACACGTTTTTAGTTTTAGTTATATTTTTTCAATTATAAAATATATACAAAAATATAACCATGATATTTTACTCAAACATGTAACGAAACATAAGCATGGGTGTGCATATATTTTATATGTATATATAATATTACAAATACATATAAGGATCTCACACATTATGTCCTAGTTTCATTCTTGACATGTGAAGGGAAAGCAAAACTATTTCCTCCATTTTGTGAATTTACACAGGAAACAATTCCTGTAAAATAATAATGATATCATGAAATTATATTACAGTTAAAATTTGGGGCTAGGAAGAGTTTTTAGGTATCATTGAGTCCAGTCCACTCGTCACACAGATGAAGAAATGAAGCCACAGAAAGCTGAACTGAACGATCCAGGTCTCTGTAGCCCCATCCCTGTTCTCTTTCCACAGTAACTCTAAACTTCTATTATAGCAAAAAATAAGTCCATGGGCCATAAATTCTGCAGAAGAATACAAATTTCATAGAATAACTTATAAACATATAATTCTCTATAGATTATAGAGCTATGATCTCTACCGTAAAATTCATGAGGTGTGATAATAGATTCTTTCTTTGTTACAGATGAGGAGACTGAGGCTTAGAATAGCTAAATGATTTAAAGCCACACAAATAGTGAATTCTGAATTGTTTCTAACATTCTACACACATATATGTAAGATTTGAAATTTTAAATGGCTGCTTATACCAGCGAACTGTGGAAGTGAAATCAGGATAGAGACCAAAGACTCACCAGCATTACTGCCACCCAGATGGAATTTTACTAGGTGAGTTTTGCTTACTTTCAGACTGCCCTCACAACTGATACCACCTGCCCAGTAGGCTAAATAATTGCCAAATGCATTTCTTCAATTCAACTGAAAAGAATAGAAAATTCTTTGACAATAAAATTTTAAATTTCTAAGACTATAGTTAGTATTAGGCATTTCTATATTTAAACCATTAAAATATGATTCATATTTTTAAAGATTCCTAATATTGAAATTCGACATGTTACCTGCTTTGCCAGAATTCTTTCATATTGTGGTCAGATTTAAAAGGGTATGTCTTTCCACCAAGAATGGACATTACAAATACCATGCATCTGCTAAATGAAACAAAGGCTTTCTTTAGAAACTGTAATATAATCAATCCCCCACCTCTGCAAAAAAAAAAAAAAAAAAGCTTGTAGTGAAAAGTTACAGATGTCAACTTTAATACAAATTAAACAAACCATCAAATCATTTGTAGAGCATTTTTAATCGTCAGAATTAGCCACTATAATTTCATTCACAAGCAAAAATAAGTGAGTGAAGTCACTAAGTTGTTTCCTCAAAGTAATATAGTAGCTAACATTACCATGACTATTTACATGTTTTGGGTGTGTTTTTTTCGTTTTTGTTTTTTTGTTTTGTTTTGTTTTTGGTAATCCCTTGAAAAACTCTATGAAGTAGTTACTATTACAGATCCCAGTAGCAGAAGAAGAAAATGAAATGCAAGGAAGTTAAACAACTTGCCTGAGCTTACTCCACAGTAGTCTGACTCTAGAGCCCACAAATTTAACTACAAAGCTATATAACTCCTTTCGAGTTATATACTAGCTACAAAAATAATTACATGTATTTCATCTGAAATTCACAGTAACCTGCGACAGTTCCAACGATAGCACAGTAAATTTCCCCATGTTAAAAACTAAAAAGTAGATTATGCTTTATCTTTCAATAAAGCAAGAAGAGGCCAATTCATTAAAATATTAGCTTTCTAATTACCTTCTAACTACCTCTTATATCCAATACATATACAAGGAAACAACTGAGAAATATTACTGAGCAAACAATGGAGACACCAAGATTCCTGTGTAAGTACTACAATCCATACACATTGAGAAAATTGAGTTCCATCAATCCTCAGCCAGACACTATATTTTATAACTGTTGCACATAATTCTAAAATTTAGGTTGCTCTTCCCCTGCCCCAAAACTGACCAAAATCTAGATACAAGGAAATGCTAGAACTAGGCAAGCAACAAAAAAGGAGACTGAAAAAGTTATAAGAAGCTTACAATATTCACCTAAAAGTTTACTGTCCATGTCATTTTCACATCAGGACAGATTTCTATAAAAATAAACAGGCACCAAGAAGTTATTATAACCCAACAGAATTTTCATATGTAAAACATTTCATTCCCCAATAGTTCACAGCACATACAGATGAAACTTAATCCAGGTAAGGATTTATTTTCAATACAAGCTCTCCAATTCTCATTTCCATAGATATTTTCTTCTTAGAGGCTACATAGCATTAATTTAAAAACAAAATAATGCTCAATAACTGAGAAGTTTAGAAACTTGCTTAACTGTTTAAATAAGTTGCCTATCAACTAAAAATAGTGGATTTTTTGAATAATGACTCTTCTGAGAAATGGAAGAGAACTTGACTGCTGGACAAGTGTTTCGATTTTTAGAAAAGAAAACATTTAGACAGGTGTCTCTCTAATGAAGAATGTAAGGTTAGAAATCCTGAGTTAAATTAATAGACACAGCATCATAGTCATACACCTTGAAATAAAAGTGCTGAACAATGTATCAGCCTCTGAAGTTCATCAACATTAGGCAAATTTTCAAAAACAAAATAATAGAACAGTGGTCACAAAGCACTGACATCAGGTTTTGAGTTTCTCATAAGTGATGTACACTGTGTGTTCTCCTGAAACTATATCACAATTAATGAATTAAGAAATACTTTTCCTAAATATGTTCAATGGACATCTTCTTTCCATCTGATAATTGAATGCAAGTAGAAGAGAGAGACCAGAACAGTGAAAAACACAAAATTATGCCCTCTGAGTAATGAATGCTAAAACAAATAACTTCGGGACTACACGGCTTCCAATATTTGAAGGAATTTCATATGGAGGAAGAGTCAGATACATTATACATCTGGCACAATGCCTAATACATTATAGGTACTCGTTAAATATTTACTGTATGACTGAGGGAATGAATCAATTAATGCACAAATCATTTGCTGATTATCTCCAGAGCCAGAAAATTATTCTAGAATCACAGAATTTACTTTAAGTTATAGAAAGGCAGAGTTTTGCTTTAACATATAGTTTATAAATTATAATTGTTCAATGACATAAAAAGGCTGTCTCTAAAGGCAGAACATCCCCTAAGCCTGTTTCACTTGGATATCTGAGAAGGGACTGCCTTTCAAATGGGCAAACAAACTGGCTGACTTTTAAAAGTTCCTGTGTTGCTGTGATTTCCTCTTTAAGATTCACTATTGTGTTCTCTCATTTCTCCATTTCAGACAGCAATTTGTGAGTTTTCCCTCTGCCTTAAAATTATATTCTTATTTCCATTGTCCACTGTGAGAAAATACTATTACAATAGAAAAATTCATCAGGGCTCATTCATTTAACCTTGCCACTCCACCACAGAGTCATATCCCAATTCCTGGTGAACAGGAGTGGAAAAGAACCAAAGTGCTCTTAGATTACAAGCAACATCCTTATGTGTGTGCGGGCGTGTGTTTGTATGCGCGTATTCTTGTCTGACATCTTTTGCAATGACACTAGCACATTTTTTGACTTATGAAGATGATTGTTTGAGTAATGGTGCATATATGACTCATTTCTTGTTTTTGTCCAATACAATCATCTTGATAGATGCAGGGGGCCAATGAAGTCAAAATTATTGGTCCTATCTGAAGTTGTCACACTTGAAAAGATGTAGCCAAAATGTGAATGTAGGTATTATATGAGACTCAAAGAAGCTAAATTATTATCTTAATCTTGGTGGAGATATAGTGGAGAAAACAATGATGGTGTGGACTGGGTGGCTGGGGTGAAATTGAGAATTAAGAAACCTTAGTTTGAGACCGGACACCTATCATTCTATGCTAGATTTCTCACATGGAAAATACAGAATGGTGGCAGCTATTTATCCTCTCCTGCATCCTAGGTTTTTGTGCTTCTGAAAATGAAATAGTAATGAAAATATTTTGTTCATATTGCCATATACAAATAGCAAGTAGCACTAAATATAAGTATGAGTTTAAAATCCAGGCAT